TACCACCCCATTTAGGATAGCACCCAGGAAGTCCCATATCGCATTCTCACATGCCACCACTCTGACGAGGGGCGGGGGAAGGAGAGGGGTGCTTTCCAACTTGGAGAGTTTCTGGAATCTTCCCTTCTTGAACAGGACGATCCCACCAGGTAAACTGTGTCTCTCTCTCTTCATGGGCCACCTGATGCCCACGAGACTGAACCCACCTGAGCCTGACACCTGCTTGGCTCACTATGGAGCAGAACTGAATCTCACCTGCTTCTGGCTGACACTGCCAAGCATCAGAGCAAGAACTACCAGCAGGGAGCCTGGGGGCTCTATCCCTAAAAAACAAAAAAAGACAACCATTCTACCACACGCACGAACAGGCTGGAAAGGCTGCTTTCTCATTTCTTCTTGGGTATTTTTTTAACTCTGCCTGATCTCTCTACTGCTCTACAGGTCTCACCTCCCCCTGCAATGGCAGGAAGGACGCCCCAGTTGGCAGGTGCCCACAGATGGGCATGTTGTGGGCTTGGCTGAGGCCCCTGCATGGCAGTACTGCTGGCCATCAGCACTGCACGGGGGAATCACAGTGGTGTTCACAGCGGTGTTCACCTCGGCCTGCAGCCAGGAGACACCAGGAGGTCCTCCTGGCACCCGGCTGTGTGAGTTCAGAGGAACTGGGTGCCCTGGAGACGATGACAGTGAACTCGATGGCTGATAAGACACTAAGAGGCCTACGTGTGGTACTCAAAAAAAGCCTCTTAGGAACCCCCTCTCTTCTCCCCAGGCCCAGAATCACTGGTTTTAATGGCATGTGAGATGGATCTAGAGCCGAATCCACTGTACAACGCCCCCGTTAGTTCACTGGGTTGAGTCGTAACGCAACCAGATGGTGGGACTGCCCAGGCCTTTAGCAACAACTCCAAATCTCTGTGAAGGCATTTAAAAACTGCTAGCCCTGGTTGAAGCTGCAGTCTTTCCTTGTGACTGCAATAGAATCCTAGAAGATATAGAAAAATTATCATCTATAGAAAATGGCAAGTTATTTTCTAGAACAAAATACTTCTGGGAACTCTTCGGTCTAAATACAGTATATACAACAACCCATGTTCCACACAGCCGACTGCACTTCTGCTTGCAAAAGCACTTCACAATCAGACCAGGGAGCACAAACATTGTCGGAGAGAAATATATGTAACAAAACAAAAGATCACGTTCATGCTCTCCTGATTAAGCCACGCTTAAAAAATTACAAATAAAATGGAGCTTCATACAGTTGCCTTTTTAACACATAGTGTAGGCTGTATTTTTCATGGGTTGTTTGCACAGGTAGGAAGAGCGTGTGTTCTGGGTTAGGTGGGGGCTGTGCAAAATGTGTTTGTTACTTGGGAAAGAAATGACTGGTCATAATCAAGACGCAACTGCAAAAACAAACTCTCCGGGGTTTGACCAAAACTAGTGCGATACATACCAAGTTTCACTTAAATGGAAGCACTAAATCTCGTCCCAAGATATGCACTGAAATTTAAAAATGAATGTTCCCATTATGAAATTAAAGACTGAGACAGCCTGCATGGTGGATTATGATAAGCACTGGTTTGTCAATGAGCTTTGCCCTTGCATGCCCAGTGCTCGTGCTGTTGTTCAAACCGTGGTCAGAAGGGCCTGCTTTCTCAGACTCCAACCCGAAACATGAATTATCTGTGCACTGATTATCAAAACCCATCTGGGAAACAGGAACTTCAGCTCAGGAATTATGATGGAATGTCACATGTCTGTCTAAAGCCACCCTTACTTGAAAAACCTGAGCTTTGCTCACAGCTCTTCTGTTTCATTCTCCCTAAAGCTGCTGCCCCATTCCCTTCCCAGTTCTTGCCCAGTTCCCCAAAAACCCCCAGACCCATTCCACACGGGCAACCAAGCCCTAACAGGCAGCAGCTGTGTAATGTAGCTTCGATCCCTCTCCAGGGGAGACAGCTCAGTCTGCAGGAGCAGATGTGAGAATGAAGTGTCTGCAGAGATGAAGGGGTCTTCTGATTTCCAGGAATACCTGACGGTCTCCAGAGGCACACCGGCTGGAGCGTGTCCACTGGTCAGCCCAGCATCCCTGACGTGTGGCTAGACGGTCCTCCCCAGCTCCACAGAAAACGCCTTTACAGGCAGAGCAGGCTCTCGATGACTGTTCGCACAATGAAGAAGTGAATGAGGAAGGAATGCTTACCACCTCGTAGCTAATTACAACATCGTACGCTACCCACAACCCTCCGCATCCATTCCTGTTGGTCCAGCATGTTTGTTCTCAACTTTTGGTTAAGCTGCTTTCAGGAAGAGAAAACTGAAAAGGGTGGGAGCCGGCGTAAAGTGACAGGAGTCTGACAAGGGTTTCTTTGTGCTTCCAGGTCCTCTAAGGGTTACAAAGGCAGGGCCTTAATGGTGCCAGAAAAAGAAATCAAGAAAGAAATTGTCTTTAAAAAAAAAAATTATATACACACAGTACTACTGGTGTGGACCAGGACATTCCGCCCCCAGAACTTTAAGGCGACATATTCTCTACTGTGGCTTAAAGTTGTACCTTGTACTTAGGGGACAGCATTTTCAGTGTTTACTGACCTTGAAAATACAATGGTTTCATGATGCCTGGACAATGCCGTATTTGTTTTTTGTTTTCCCATTTCAGTGAATCTGAAACAAGGACTAAACTTCAGACACATAGTTTACAGATTTTATTAAATTATAGAAATGTTATTTCTAGATCTCATGGAAAAGTAAAGGGAGTTCTAGAGGTCCATCCCTCCCCCACCACCGCCCGAGACACCGGACATAACGGAAAAAACAATTCTAGAGAACTCAAGGGGAATAAAAAAAACCTACTGCCGTGAGAATCAGGTGAGTGCAATGAATGCTTAACTATCACAAAAAAAAAAAAAAGTTTCTTAAAACCCTCTGTCTAACCAAACTGTAATTCTAAGACTGTGTCAGAGCTTAATCTAGGAGACACTGCATGGGGGCTATCTACGTAGTAGACAGAGACGAGAGGCTCAAGTCAGACATCCAATTCCCGACACGATCCATGGTTGGTGCACCTTTGCAGGGAAATGAGCACGATGCAAGCACTGACGGGGCTGGGAACCCACCGAGCGAGGCGGCGGGGTCTTCCAGCAGCGGGGTCCTGCTGCTCTGGGACGTCCCTGGAGATCTGCACAGGGAAAGCAAAGCCTCCTCGGGGGGAGGGGGTGGACACAGGACAGGGCAAGCACGGGGCCATGGGCTCACGTCGACAGACGACAAGGAACACTCGTGCTAACTTGCAGGGCTGAACACGTTAAGTCTTATGTGTTGCTAGGGTCTCAACTTCCAGCTACCCTCAACATCAACGGCCTGCAGGCTTGCAAGTTACCAGCGAACGCTCCAAATAGCAGCAAAATAAAGTTAAGTAACCCTACTGAAATTATTTCCCAAGAGGTATTCATGGAAAAAAAAAAAAGGGAGAGAGAGAGAAGAAAAAAAGCAGTAGCAGCGCTGGATTGATAACTGTATGTGCATATTTTCATTTCAAACCCAGCAATACTGAAAAGGGAGAAGATGAATGATTGAGCACACCCAAGTTCAGTAGGAACCTGAACATTCTAGGACCTGCCTCAAGGTTAATATTTAAAATCATATAAAAACATAACATGCCACGTTTAATCGCAAAGTGACAAACGCTGATCAGGGAGCATCAAAGTCGTGAACTCTCTTGACATGAAAAAACTAAAAACAAATAATTTTTTTAAAAGCCCTAAAATTGCAGCAGAAAAGTATGGCCACGGGATCACCAGAGAAGCTGGAAAACTGTATCTGCATTTAAACGTGAGACTTTGGTGAGGTTCCCCTTCTTTTGACAAGGAATGTGGTTTGCTGTGACACTGTCAGATGGCGCGTTCTCCAAGTCCCGCCTACGAGTCCTGGGCCTGAGAGTGGATCTTCAGCGCAAGGCAGAAGGTGACCAGCTGCCTGATGGAGACCGGGGTGCGGTTCCACAACTGCCCGTGCACCCCACTCTCCGCTCGGCTGCTTCCGCCTACCACGGCTGGCGTGCAGCGGGAGGCAACATCGTGGCTCTCAGAGCCACAGACAAGGTGAGGACACACGACCACCACACAGACCCAGGGAAGCACGAAGCGTTCAACTTCCAACGGGAAAAGGAAGAAAAAGAACAAAAGCAATGCTACGAAAGGAAATTGAAACTGCAGATTCAGGCATCTAATTCAGAATCCATTACACACCCCCAGCCCCGAGACTCTTCCCAATGTACTAACTGCCCCCCGGCCGTCCCACCTGCCACCTGTTCAGACACACCCCAGGGTCAAGCCGGGTTATGGCATGCCTGCCTCTGCAGATGGGGAAGAAGTGAACGGACTTCCTTCCCAGCCCGGAAGCTTCTGCGGCAGGAGGAGACATGTCACCATCGTCGCCTGCACGCCCTCCTCTTCTGCAATCTAGACTAGCTGAGCGGATACCTGAGAAACGTTAGTGTTTAGAATATTGCCCTTCACGAAGACTAGGAGATGGGGCAGCGAAGTGCAGAAAGCAACGGTTTTTCCCTCGGCCTGTTTCGCTATCTGCATCACAGTTTTCTTGAGCTCCAGGTGCCACCCTGCCATTTGCAACGGGCACTGATCCTGTGCAGGGGGAACCTGTGCCAGGTAACTCATCCTCGTGGACACTAACCAGTGACAGCTGGACGGCCTTCCAAATCCTAGTGTCCAACGGAAGTCGTCCGAGTCCTCCAGACACAAGTATGCACAACGCTAAGGGCCACTGGCCACATTATTCCAGTTAGCTTGGTTTCAACGCTTTGCCTATGGCTGTTATTTGGTTCAATGGCAGAATAAGGCGACGCTTTTTAACAATTTGCGATTGAATTCTCTTTCTGTCTGTCTTGCACACACACACACACACACACACGCACACACACACACTGAGTCAGGCACATGACTCCAAAAATACAAAAACAAAAAAAGCAGACAGGGCATTGGTGGGAGGGGAGGGGCTCCAAATAAATAAACGTCTTTACAGATAAAACACTTGGCTTTGCGGAAATATCACTGAGGTTTCTGAGAAGGCCGTGCAGAGGTTTGCATGCTAGAAGATAACTTTCTGGGGGCTTTCTCAGCAGACTGCCTGCCCCCCGGAGACGAGGGGGCCCCGGAATCCAGCTGCGAAGACTTGGATCTGCGGGCGGACAACAGGGAATGTTTAGTGGAAGCAGGCTCCTTGGAGACGGGCGGCTCTTTCCCCAGTGCGTTGGCGTGGGGCTGCTGGGAGCCCGGGGCCGGGGGGCCGCGCTCGGCCTTCTCCTCTGTGCTGCTCTTACAGGCCGACCTGGCCGAGCCGCTGCCGGCCTTCTTGGACAGCAAGCTCGTCTTGCCGAGGTCGGTAGAGCGCCGGGTCTCCTTCTGTCTCAAGGCTGACTTGAAGAAGGACAGCCCCTTGTCCTCTGACTTGCTATCCCTCTTGAGTCCGGCCCTCACGCTCGTGCTCGGGGAGCGCAGACTGGCCATGGAGGAGCTCCTGACATGCTTGCCATCGCCTCGGCCCTCCCCGGCCCTGGCCTGGCTCACCCGGGGGGAGCTGGGTTTGGAGGAGCAGGTGGCACCGGCTCGGTCAGAACCCAGACTCTGCCTGGAAGCCTCCCGGCTGAGGCTCCACTCTGAGGTCCTGCTCTTCCCGGGCGGGAGGGCGCCTCGCGGGCCGGGGCCAGGGGCTTTTTTGGCAGATGTCGACGAGGCAGTGTGAGCGGGGGCAGAAGCCGACTTCTGCTTCTGTGGTGAGGGAGATGACGCGGAGTCCCGGGACTTGGGCGAGGCCTCCTTCTTGGGCTGCACCGGGGCGGGGGACGAATGCCTCCCGCTGGCCCGGGATGAAGCCTCCGCTTTGCTCCGGGAGCGGGAGGGCTTGAGGGACACTTTCACAGGGACGGGAGAGGAAGGGGATGTGCTGGAAACAGAAGAGTCCTGGCTCGCTAGGGCCGGCCGCCCCTTCCGCGGGCCCTTCTCCGGCTCCGAAGTGCCCCTGGAGCTGGGGGTTCTCGTGGCTGTGCTCTCAGGCCTCCCCGGGAGGGAGCCTGGCTGGTTCAGGGCTTTGGCCTCCTTGACTGGAGAGCTGTCCACGGAATCGCTCTGGTCCACGTAAGCGATCTGGTTGTTGTTATCAAAGGGATCGGAGACAGGGGGCAAGCGGTCCCCTTGGGCCGGGTGTTTGCTCTGCACAGCGACGGTACTGGAGTTCGATTTGCAGGTGTCTGACTCATCTTTGAACACACCTTCCATGACGGCCAGGGGCGCTCGGCCCACAGCCTTGTGCTCGCGTCGGCTGTGACTGTCGCTGGAGTCCTGGAAACTGCTGGACAGGTTCCTCAAGCTCCCAAAGCAAGAGATGGAGACCTTGTCATCCACTGCTTCCCCGATCTTCTCCAAGGTGGACGCCGAGCTGTGAATCGGAGAGTCCTCTGAGAACCTGGAAGGAGAGTTGGAGCGCAGCTGCAGCTTAGCAGACAGGGACCAGGAAGGCCGCATGCAATTCTCGTTGACAGCCAAGGGGCTGGTGACAGAAGACCTGGAAGACAGGCTCTGACGCTGGACGCTTCTCACAAAGGGCCGGGTGGAAAAGCCTCCTGAACACAGCAAAGAGAACACCGTTAAGCTAAACCCACAGAAACATTCAAGTAACCCCTAAAGATGATGAAGATGGAAGGCAGGCAAGCCCATGGGGTGAGAAGAGCATGGTCCTTAAAGGCAGCCCGTTTGAGGCCCAGGCTAACCGTGGGCTTCAGCCTTCAGGAGCCCACTTCCCTTGTCCATACAGCAGGGCTCTTCCTGCTCCGGGGCCAGCAAGCTAGTCTCCACTCCATCTTGCCCGACATCAAGGATCAGCACAATTGTCCTGGCAGGTCAAGCCCTCAGCTCTGGCCCTGCGGCACCGAGGCGGCCATGGTGATGCCATAACAGATATGCTGTGTTTCAAAGGAAGTTCCTTTACGGAGAAAGGCACAGGTCAGATTGGGCTTCGGGCTGCTTTGCCAAGCCTCGGTCTAACTCCGCGAGGATTAGTCTGCTGGGAGGTCTGTGGCTGGCAGGGCAACTGCACCCCAGAGATGCCCATGAGGCACAAGCTACTGACAGCTTCTTCAGCTCGCTGAGGGATGGTTAGGGCACGCAGAAGTGAAGTCTTTGACCAAGCTAATGGCACAGCCACAGCCCCTTACTAGCACACTTCACTACCACATGTAACTGGCCCCTAATGACTGACTGGAAAAGTCACCAGTGGATGTTTGATATCACAGGTAAGCTACCACTTAGTAATGCCAGCATTTCAAACTGGAAAGCCTGGTTAGAGGCCCAGCTACTCTGCTTCTGCTTCCTGCTGATGTGCACCTGGGAAGCGGCAGGTGGCTGGTCAAGTACTTGAGTCTCTGCCACTTGGGTGAGAAGTCCTGGCTGGAGTTCTGGGCTCCTGGGCTCACTGCCGTTCAGCCCTGGCTGCTGGGAGCATTTGGAAAGTACATCAGTGGATGGAGCTCTCTTCCTGCCTTTCAAATAAAATGCAAGTACATTTTTAAAAGTATTTTAAAGATTGAGTTATTTACTGAAAAGAGTGACAGAGAGGGAGAGGCAGAGATCTTCTAGCCTCTGATTCGCTCCCTAAGTGGCTGCAAGAGCTGAGGGGTGGGCCATGCCAATGCCAAGAGCCTGAAACTCCAACTGGGTCTTCCAGGGTGGTGGAGACCTTGCACCGGGGTTCTCATCCACTGCCTACTGTGGCTGTGGCATTTACAAACCTCTACGAGGAGGAGCCCCTCAAAGCCAAGCTCTGTCCCGGGGCACCGCCCAGCATCACTGGAGGGAGGTGGTGCTTAGGCGGATGCCGACGGCAGCAGCACACCGCTGAACAACACATGGGGACCAGCCACCCCCAGGCTGTCCAGGCTGTGCTGAAAACAACCTTTACCTAAACAAGCAAAGGCTCACTAGCCGGTCTTTCGAAGCTGTAAAGACTTGGAAGGAGCTTAGCCAGGACAGCCCAATGCTCTCATTTTACAGATCAAGGAGCAACACGCCAGAAGAGGTGGCAGAGGGAGGGCTGCGGCAGACCCCCGGGCTGGCACTCTTCCTGCAACCTCCAGCAAGCCCCACTCCAGGTCACCCTTTCAGACGCATCCATCATCGCCAGAAGCGGATCACCACGATCGAACTGCTGGCCGCAGAGTGACGCTTCCTGCAGGGTGAGTCACCGGCTCATTCCGGAAGCTGAGCTCACTCCTCTCTGCCTCCCAGCTCTCAGTTCTGGCTGCCCGACACTCCCATACCACCTGGGACCCTGCTGGAAGTGCCTGTCCATCCTGTCATTCCTCAAGCAGTAATGGAAAGTGGAAAGGAAACAAAGGGCGCCCCAGCTTCCAAATTTTTACACCCAGCCTGTCTTCAGAAACAGACGCTGGGAGTCAGATCAGCACAGCCCCCTCTGCAGGCGGCCCTAGGAGGGCACAACACTGTCCCCACCCCCCAAGAGCACTTTGAAAGAAACAGTCAAAGCACCAGTTTCTACACCTAACCCTACACTAAAGAAGCTGGAGAAGAAAGTCATTAGAAACACGAGCAAATGTCCCTGTTTGCATAGTTACTTCACATGACCATGACCGTGACCATGACCACAGCAGGCAGTCCCACTCAGCAACACTCTGAGTTCTCCCAGGCTCCTGGACACTCGTTCCTAAGTGGGAGGCATGGTGCCTCTATCACCAAACCCCACACTCACCATCATCCTCACTCCTCTCCCCGGTCATTTCTACAGACTCGGAGAGCGAGGCCAGCGAGGTGCGCCTGGAGGAAGCCGCAGAGGTCACGCTGGCTTGCTTGCTCCCCGGGAGACGGCTCACCCAGTGCTCACACAGGGAAGAACTTGTGGAGCCTGCAGGAAAGGAAGCGGGCACTGGTGAGGCAGCGTCCAGGGGCGGCCTGCGTGACTGAGCTGGCATCCCTGATGAACGTCCCCACCCAAAAGTCAGCATGAACTCCCAAGACCCCCAAACCGCCCCTCCAGATACACACAAAGATGCAAAGCAGATTCCAGTACGTGAGGGAGTTTGGCATCGTGACATGCACGTAAGAGGAACACTTCATAAGGCAAAGTCTGAGCCTTAAAGAGGCTGTAAGAGGAGGGCTCATGCATAAATTCACTGTCTACCTACCAGGTGCTTTTTTGAGCACCTGCAGTTACACTTCAGAAACAAAGGAAGAATAGAGGACTGGATTTTTCTGGGTCTCATTGTCTGTGGACATGCTTTACACACAAGCACACTCACCCCTCCATGTCACTGTCTGCTCTAGGGTTGCCTTTAAATGTATTTTAGGCCAACAGAAACTGTTCCTGAACTGTGCACATGAAACAGCAGGCGTACACCTCAAGAGGGCACTGCTGAGCACGGCCGACCCTGGAAGCACTGGGGAGGCCGAGAGCCTTTGAACCCGCACTGGCACTGTGAGTGAGCCACCTGCCTGCCAGTGGGCGGGGACTGGAGGAGGATCCCGGCAGGGGTCTCCCCACTTGAGTGATGCTTCCCCACTAGTCTCCCTACCAGCCATACATCATCACTTCGAGTCCTCGGTCAGTCCAACTCCCCATGAGTGTGCACGCAGCCCCTTGTGTGGGTGAGCGTGGCTGCATCCATGCCACACATGGGTACTGGCTCTGAATCAGGCAAAACCCTAAGGCTTCTTGCAAGAGTTGCCTTCACCAAAAAACGAAGTTAAAAGGCAACTCACACAATTCAAAAAAAAAAAAAAAAAAAGCACATTTTTAAAAGACCCAAAAAGACAATGTACATTTTCCAGTGAACTTTTTGGAGGCTCTCTGTATTATTCCTTTACCTAAAGGATTAATATTACTGGATGAAAATACCTGTGTCCAGAGATACTTAGCCGTAACAGAAGGCACGCCTTCCTCTAATGTGACGTGAGGTGGGTGTCATTACAGCTTTGCACAGATGGCGTGCACGTGGCCCTGGGGGTACTGCTCCAACCAGGTTGCAGGGCAGCATGCCAGGTTGCCTTCTGGCTTCCCCACACGTTAACCAGACTCCCTGTGAACTCCGCCAGCCCACACCTGCTCTCACAACCCAACCCCTCTTGCTCGACTGCAATCACGCTGGTTTCCACGGGAAACGGAAATGTGAAAATTAATCCAATCAAGTCAACAGTCATGAGGCCTTCCGGAAAGGTCCTCTGGGCCATTAATGACCATCATCTACTCTGGGGGGAGGAAAAACACCCCACCCAAGGTCAAGAGTTGGCTTTACCTGCCACCGAGCTGTTGGCTGACCACGACGGGATAGCCGTCCGCCTCTGGTAGAAAAGGATGTAGGCTGTCTGCGTGCAGACCTCGTCCTCCGACAGCTGCTGCACGTCACTGTCGTCGAAGCAGTACCAGAGGCCATCCACGGAGTTCTTACAGTACGCTGGGGAAACAGCCTGCCTTGAGAGCCGGGCAGGGACGCAGGCGGCCCAGACCACCCCGCACAGCCTCCCTTGCTTTGCCTCTCGGATTAACCCAAGAACTTTCAAAGGCTGCAGGTAGCAACCCAGAGGTGAAAATATATCCAAACTCCATATCACACTCAGGCAGACTGTCTCAGGAAACTAGTTTAACCTAGTCCAAGTATATGCAGTACTAGCTCAGCTAACAACATGGAAGAATAAACTTAACTTTGTCAAGCCAAGGGATCTCAGCCAGGGACAGTTCTGTCCCGTGAGCAACAACCGGCAGTGAATGCAGAAGGTTCTGGCTGTCACTACTGTGGCTCCTAGCTCCTGGTGGAGGGAGAAGTCAGGGACCTTCCCGCACATCCTACAGGGCACAGGACAGCCCTGCAACACTGAATGATGATGCAGCCAAAATGTCAAAGATGCCAGGGGCCACCAACCTTGACTCAAACGTTTTGTAACATTTCAGTCTTTGCCAGCAACAAAAATAATAGGACTAGAAAGGAGGGTATCAATCATAGCAAGTACTTTTTTTAAGATGTACAATGTGCCAAGCATCCCACTTAATTTTGAGACATGTCCTATTGTGATTCCTGATTTACAAAGACTCAGTAAGATTACCCTGGGGTGCCCGAGGCCTCCAAACTGGTAAAGGATGAGTGTTTCATTCCAGCTTTACCTGGTCCTTGAGCTTGCACTTAAACCCCTACCCTGCCCAGCTTCCCTCAGCACGGTAGTTCTCTGGAAATGTGAGAACCTGGGAAAGCAACAACTCAGGAGGCTCTCCCTCCAGTTCAAGTCCTAGGCCTGAGCTAGAACGAAAGCACTCAATACCAACCCCAGAAACCCTACCACAGGGGACCTGGAAGCTTGACCCAGCGGGAGTGTACTACCACCACATTCTCCAGCAATACCCACTTGCTGGGTGGGCACAAATATGCACCAGAATGTCTGCCAGAAGGCTGGAATACACACAGCACAGTCCCAGGAGCGGGGCACATAGGCTTGGAGAAGTACTGGGAGTGAGTCTCTCAATAGGCCGCAGCCACTCCCACAAGCATGCAACCCTACAGCATGAAAGGGAGCCACACAAGGAAGGGCTCAAAACCAGAGTGGGGTGAAGAACCTCTGAATGCGGAGAGGGAAATCAACTGTAGCTAGGTTCCCCAGAACCAGACAGGGAGAGAACGGAGACAGAAGCGGCAGATGGAGCTGGAGAAACAGCGTCGGGCCGGACGGGAGGTCTGAGTGAGCCAGCTGCTGCACTGACTGGGATCAGAACAGTGAGAGGGGACCACACCGAAGGGACAGTGACAGAAGGGCCCTCTGCTAGCGCTAGTCTGGTTCGCCTCAGGAGGGTCTGTTGTTAGTCATGATGCGGAAACAAAGGCAGCATAGTAACCCACTGAGGCGTGGACAATGTGATCACAAAACGACCCCACTGGCCTTCCTCCCCAGCTTAACTTCTTGCAGTGTTTTCTAGGCCAGTATTCCTCAAATTGTGGCCAGTCCTCAAGCAGAGAAGGAAGGAACTGGAGACCAGCATTTAAAAGCCTTTATAGCAACCCGATACTGCTGGGATATTCTGATTGTATTTGTGTAGAAGCACTGGTTCGTGAAGGATTAAAAAACTTAAAATAGAATCATAGCATCGCAGACGGCTCGGGAAGCGCTGTTCCAGAGTCCCCTCCCCAAGTTAGCCAAACCCATTCCATGTAATTACAGCTAGAACTAGCAGAGTCAAGGACACGAGAGGAGACAGGATCCAAACGAGAGGAGACAGGATCCAAACGGGAACTTTAAAGCAGTGTCTTCAAGCCAACAATGTAGCGAGTGTGCAATATGTTCTCCAAACTACCAGTAAACAACCTATAGATCAGAGAAGCCACAGAACGGCTTGAGTATGGAAAAGGGGAAGGGATCCAGACAGCATCCGAGCATCCGCTAAGTTAAAGGGTCCTGTGAAGCACGGTGGTCACTGCTGGCTCCCTACTGCGGTACCCACCTAAGGCAGGGTGAGGGAAAGGTGTCTGGCTTCTCACCCAAGCTCCTTTCACAAAAAGGGAGCTGAGGCATTTTCCAGTCTCCTCTACGAAAAAGCCAGTGTAATATGTAAAATTCAGGTCCACCCTATTTTTATTTTTCCTCAACAATTTCTTGCCTAAGACCACTCAGCAAGTCATTTTCCTAAGAAGCGTTACAAGCGGGAGATGCACTCTTTATCAAAGCTGAACATGAGGTGGGGACGCTGGCCAAGGCAGGGCCACAGTGGGATGCCAGGGAAACTCAATGAACTCCAAGTCCCTTCCCCTCAGAGTCTGCGAGTTTACAACTCCATGTCTCACTGCCAAAGAGGACAAACATGCTTAGAATTGCCACAGAAGCAAAATTCCAACTAGACACACAGTACAAGCGGCCCCCAGAAAACACGAGTACAAAAAAATGCAAGACCTGAAATATAATAAACTATCAAAACTCCGCCCAAGTCAAAGTTCAGGGTAAAATAAACTTAAAACCAGTGGGTAAAGCCACTGCCTGCGACACCAGCATCCCAACTTGGCACCAGTTCAGGGCCTGGCTTCTCCAGTTCCAACCCAATCCAGCTCTGTGTTAATGTACCTGGAAAAGTAGTATAAGATGGCCTGGGTCCTTGGGCTCCAGGTACCATGTAGGAGACATAGAGGCAACCCCTGGCTCTGTTCTAGCCCAGCCCTGGCCCTGTTCTAGCCCAGCCCTGGCCGGTACAGCCTTTTAAGGAGTGAATCAACCAATCAAAGTTCTCCGTCAATTATGTGAACCATCACCATTGCCTCCCACTTCTGTATTAGCAGCAAGCTGGAACCAGCAAGGATTGAACCCAGGTCCTACACAATATGGGATGTGAACGTCTTAACTGACAGCTTAACCTCTAAGATAAAAACTTTGATACATGGTACAACATGGATGAGCCTTAAACACATCCGACTACATGAAATAAGCCAGTCACAAAAGGACAAATATTGGCTGATTCCACTTCTAAGAGGTATCAAGAGAAGTCAATTCAGACCCAAAGCAGGGTGGCTACTAGAGGCTTGTGGGTAATATAAAATAGTGTTTCATGGCACCATTTCTGTTTGGGAAGATGAAATAAGCTCTGGCAATGAGGAGCGATGGTGCCTACACAGCAATGCAAATGTACCTAACATCACTAAAGAATACACCATTAGGTGGTAAATTCTATTATCTATGTTTTATCACATTTCTTCAAAGTGTTACCAATGGTTGTACTAGAGCCCCCATGTAATGGTATGTTTTCTGATTATCTCTAGTCTCTAAATGTTATGTGCTGAACTCAGTTGCTTTAGAAAAGAAAAAAAAAAAAAAGAAAGAAAACTGAAGTTTAAAAAGAAAAGCCCTCCCAAGCCACGTGAAGACACTGCAATAGTGCTTCACAACTGAAATAAGTGAGAGGCTAAAACTTGAAGCCAGCAGAGCAAAGTCGTCTGTGGGGAGAGTGTGAGTCAGGTGCACGGAAGGCAGACCCTCTGACGACCACGGAATGCCACCTGTGTTCACACTGCTGGCCCAGCCAGGTAAGGTCACCTCGGGAAGATCCAAGTCGGAAAGAGCAGGAAGAGCTTTAGTGCGTTAGCCCTTGGACAGAGGACGGGGACCACCTTTACCGGTGGCACGCAACCTATGGGAAGAGAAACGGAGGTCCTCAAGCCACGGCCCTCTGGCCCAACACAGCCTGCCTGGAGGAGCGGAAGCACAGACACACGGCCTCACGCGCTGCAGACCTGTGTAGTGCCCCCCTTGCATGGTGCCATGGTGATTGCACACCGCATACAGGTCATAGATGTAGTCCTCGGGGTCCCTCCCGAGTCCATAGGGCCGTCTCCACGGGGACCAGTGCGACGGCAAACTCCAGCTGCTCTGGCTTCTCTTAACCACGTGAGGCGTCATGTCCAGGCCAGTCAAAGGGAACTTGACCATGTTCTGAAGTTTCATACGTTTGTCTCCTTCCTGTTGCAAGAAGAAAAACAAGTTCTTAGGACATTTTAACGGAAGCAAAAGGCAGATCGGTTTAGCATGGAATGAGGATCCTATCAGCTGAAGTTGCTTGAGTCACCTATCTGATACCACTCAGACACACACACATAGCAGGGAAATAATCATTTTAACTACCTGGAGGAACAGGTTTCAATATCACAAAAAGCAGAACCAGTGAGGATCTATGGATTAGCCGAGTGTGAATCTCTGAATCTTTACTTCCTCATCTGCTTGAAGTTCTTAGATTTTTGACTTGCATAAAAAACCGCAATTTCAGATAGTCCATGCTGATACCTCTGTGTCGCAGAGGGCACAAACACTCCGGGAATGGTGACTGTGCAAAGGGCAAACCCCGGTGCCTGGCCCAGAACGGCCTGCAGTGGGCAGTGCCCCATCCCTCCCCACCTCCCTCAGAGCACAAGTTAACCCTGACTTAGCTTCAGATACAGAAGACTCAAAATGTATGAGGAAAACAGAATTTAAAAATAAGTTTATTCTGGTTAAGCCAAAAGACTTTAAAATCCACACATGGTTTTATTCATAATACATACTTTCCATAAATTTCTTGAAGAGCTTTCATACGCACAGATTTGTAAAACTTCCATGAAGTAAAATAAACTTCTCTGTGAATTCCATTTTTGAACTTTTTGAAGTCCCCTATTATTTGATGAGCTCCTAGTTGACGATCCTGAATCATCTGTACTTTCCATTCAGCCCATGGGGAAATCCATGAAAATATAACCCCTGGCCAAAGAGGTGCTTACTGTGTGCACGGTTCTCATATTTGAAAACTTAATCGAGCATGGAAATGCCCACCCCAGAGAGGTACGGACCTTTTCAGGGAAGGAAAAATATCCCTACAAGAAAGGGAAGATGGATGCTAGACAGTCAGGAAGGCTGGCTGATGAACTAAGACCTTATTCTGCAGTCGAGGGGAAAGCCTTGGGGCTCACATGGAGGAGGTGACACCCCCGAGCTGGGAGTGAAGGAATGTGCGAGCAGTATGCACAACATGTGGGGAAAGGTCTTGGGAATCAACGGAAAGACTGCAACCAATTGGGAAGTAACAGAGTCTGAACTGGCATGGTACCAGTAAGAGCGGAGAGGGCAAGACACATAAGCAGGAGTTGAGGAGCCACAGCCAAGCCACAGAAGTGAGAATCTAGTGAGAGGGACAAAAAAAGAAGTGAGAAAGGTGACCCTGCCCTTCCGAGTGTGGGTTGCTGGAAGGGTGATAATATGCCTTCGAAAGAAATAGAAAGCAAGAGTCATGTGTCTGTGTGGTGGGAAGCAAACAGAGCAGGCTGGAATCCAGAGCCTTGCCCAGCAATCCACCTGCAGAGCCCAAGAGGATGAAGCTGGGGCACCCACAGCAAGTGTGCAAGTCCTAGACAGGGTCTGTGTGTGTCACCCCTGACGCCTCCACTTCCTCAGCAAGTCCTAAACATCTCTCCATCTCCACAGTCTACCAGGCCCTTAGCATGACACTGGTGACCACATCGACCTCCTTTAGGTCCCCTACCTTCACTCTGGTCGCCTCTGCTCTGTCCTCCCAATGACAGTCAGAATGATCTCTTAAAAACACACTTGCTGCAAACCCTTCATCACAATCCTACTCAGCCCCCAAGGGGATGTTGGGCAACCTGCCGCTGCTCCCTTCTTCCACCAACTCCCACCACCGGCCCACCCCGCAGCGCCAGTCCCACCAGCACTATCAGCCCCTGACCACAGGCAGTTCCCTCCGGCCTGGCTCCAAACACGCTGCTGTTTCTATAACCTGCTGCTCCCTCTTCTCCTGGGAAGTTGCAGAGAAACACCTGCTCTGTTGCAGAGACAAACCTTGCAGCCTGATCTCACAGCCCCATCAACATTTATCCCCACCCTCCTTCTATAAACGGGGCTGCCTAGGATAACCCTACCTCAGAGAACAGACAGCTTTGCAGAGAGAGGGGTGACTGACTCACAAAGCAATACAACCCAAAGCAGATTTTCTTTGTACATGTTTATGACTCATCTCCCCCACAGTACAACAGCACCGTTAGGGTGGCCAACACCCATCATTACAGCAGGCAGACATGGGATTCCAACTCTCCTAGCAAGCATCTCTATTTACTAACCCCAAAGCACATGTACCAAAATTCAGCCTGACATTTATAAGTCTAGTGCAAACCCTGAAGAACAAAGTAAAAATCTGCCAAGTGAACTGAAATGTTTAGGATTTCAAGGGTCACAGGGTGCTCACATTTTGCCTCATACAGGCACACCTGTCTGTAAACACCCCTGCACACACACACACACACACACACACTCTCTCTCTCTCTCTCTCTCTCTCTCACTCTCTCACTCACTCACTGAAATCAAACAGGGACACCCAAGAAGCTCAGCCAGCAGGCGGCCTCACTTGTCGGGCTTCGCAGAGAGGATTCCCTCACCTGCCGGAACCTCTTGAGATGTATGATGAGCACGTCGGGCAGGGTCCACAGGCTGAGCGTGATGCTCCCCTGCTGCAGCTGCTTGCAGTGTGGGCAACGCCAGGCGTCATCCGGGGCGAGCTGCAAACGAGGAGCAGAGCTGCTGTCAGCACCCCCTCGTGCAAAGCTTTGCGACAGAGAAGGCTGGCCTGACTTCTCAGTGGGAGGTGTCCCACTTTATCATTTTCTGAATAGTGAGCGCTGGCAGTAACGAGAAGGGCAATGCCACCACCACCAGAGTCCTGACACTGCTTCTCAAGCAGCCCTAAGGCAGCACGACACACTGACACTCACAGGGCACTGCTTGTAGAAAATCCAACCTGGGCCTGATCACGTGGCGTACTGCAGGTCCCACCTGTCATCTCCATTTCTGTTGTTCTTGTTGCTTTTTTTTTTTTAAGACTTATTTCTTTTTATTGGAAAAGTGGTTTTTGTTTTTTTTTTTTTTAAAGATTTATTTTTATTGGAAAGGCAGATATACAGAGAGGAGAGACAGAGAGGAAGATCTTCCATCCGATGATTCACTCCCCAAGTGAGCGCAACGGGCCGATACTATGCCGATCCGAAGCCAGGAGCCTCTTCCGGGTCTCCCACGCGGGTGCAGGGTCCCAAAGCTTTGGGCCGTCCTCGACTGCTTTCCCAGGCCACAGGCAGGGAGCTGGAAGGGAAGCGGGGCTGCCGGGATTAGAACCGGCGCCCATATGGGATCCCGGGCGTGCAAGGCGAGGACTTAACCACTTGCGCCACCGCGCCGGGCCGGAAAAGTGGTTTTATAGAGAGAAGGAAAGAGAAAGATCTTCCACCCAAATGACCACAACAGCTAGAGCTGAGCCAATCCAAAGTCAGGAGCCAAGAGCTTCTTCTGGGTCTCCCATGTGGTGCAGGGCCCCAAGGTCCCATGCAGTCCAGGGTCCCAGGGTCCTTGGATGCTTTTCCCGGGCTATAAGCAGGGAGCTGGATGGGAAGTGGAGCACATAGAACATGAGCTTGCACCCATAGGAATCCTGGCACTTAGATGTGGAGGATTCGTCAATCGAGCCATCACACCAGGCCCTCTTTCTGTTGTTCTTACACTCAATACTGGACTTCCCAAGTGACACTCATGCATGCTAGGGCATGCTGACTCGACATTCTCTAGGGCCAGCCTACTTTTCTAGACACTGAAATCATTTAGTGTCAGACAGATGAAGTCCTTACATTTGTGAGCTTAAACGGTCTTAACTATCTCCCTCACCTCCTGTGCTCTAGCCACACTGGTCTCCCTAACGCTTGTCAACTGTGTCAAGTTCCTTCCACCCTGCTCAACCTCTCCACATGGTAAATAACGTGAGGGCAGAGAAACTGTCTGTCTCGGTCCCTGCTGTAACCCTCGGGCCTGAGCAACACCTGGTATGCACCAATACTCTGTAAACTCTATCCCTCCAGTAGGAATTCAGCGCTCTAGATCAGCAAGAAGTCTGGTAGGTATCAAAGCTGTCGCCTAGGACACATACTCACCCTTAGTCTGTCATTCTCAAAAATCTCCTGGGACAATTAAAAAGCTAACTAGAACAAGGTGTGTTAAAGAGTCTGCATGCAGTTTCAAAGTGAACTATGTTGACTTAAGCCCAAAACTGCAACAAAACAAAAACATAAACAACAAAAATATGTTTATGAAAATCTATTGCTTAGAAGCACCAGCCACGAAGAGCTAGGGAGAGAAAATTCAGTAAGAATAGAAAAGCTATTTGCAGATACCTGAAAGATAGACAAGTGGAAGAAAATTAAGACTTCTGAGTTATAACTCCAGTGAGAACAGCCATTGTGTATAGGAACCACAGAATGTGGCTCAGGTTAACTCTGATTGCCTTCAGTGCTCCCAAAGGAAAGGCTGAGTCAAGTCTGCAGTGAGCAACCCACACATTCAGAAGCTACGTAATCACCTATCTGAAACTAGGTTCAAGAACCAAACCATCAAGGAAAAAATTTTGTAGTCTCCTGATGCTGAGATGGCATGTCTGTCTAGATGCATGAGTGAAGAGTGAAAACCAACAGTGGGGTGTGACACTGTGGTGAGTGAATAAGGCCACTGTGCAACAGTATCTGCAGCAGCATCTCATATGAATGCAGTACTAGTGCCACCTGCTCCACTTCCAATCCAGCTCCCTACTAATGTGCCTAGGAGAGCAGCGTCAAGATGGCCCAAGAGTTTGGTCCTCTGCACCCACACAGGAGACCTGGAAGACAGTCTTGGCTTCGGCCCAGGCCGGCTCTGGCCACGTGGGGAGTGTACCAGATGATGGAAGGTCTGCCTGCCTGCTTGCCAGCTGGTCTGCTTCTCTGTCACTCTGTGACTCTGCCTTTCAAATAACTCAACTGTCATACTTATGATCCCAACCACCAGTGCAATATCAGATGAATTTCAAGTGCTCTGGTCAAGGTTTTTCCAAGTGCATGAAACTGCACAGGCCTGGGTCCCTCCCCAAAGACTTATTTCTCCACTTATCTGTCATCTGTTAATCTAAAAATGTACCAAGTCCCTGTTACCTGTAAAGCACCGTATGGAGTGGCTGAAAGAACCACTGTCCAACACAACTTTATCTGCACTAATCAGCACAGGCAGCACTAGCCACGTGCCTGCTGGGCACCTGCAATGCAGCCAATGCCAACTAAGGAAGTGGATATTTATTTTGTCCCTATGTTAATAGGTCCTGGCACCCTTTGCTCTCAGCACACAGCCGCCAAGGTAAGAATCACTGTTTCACTGCCAAATACAGTAACTTTAAACTTCTAAACTGCAACAAACAACAAAATAAACCGATCTTTAACCATAAGAAAGAAATTTAAACTACTTTTTGTCAACATCCTAAAAGACACAGCACTGAGCTACCCCATTGTCTGTGTCAAATCTATGCAAGTGAAAATCCTGGGAGACATTCTGAGAGCCAACTTGTCTATTCCCCACCCTCCTGCCCAGGCCCCTTCCACCCTCGGACCCCAGGAAGAGCTGTGCAGCCCCTTACCCATGCCCCATGCCTACCACCCTCGGACCCCAGGAAGAACTGCGCAGCCCTTTATCCATGCCCCATGCCTACCATGCGCGGACCCCAGGAAGTGCCACACGGTCTCTCTTGCCATGCCCCGCCCACCGACCCTCCGACCCCAGGATGTGCTGTGCAGGCCCTCACCCGCTCCTCCTTGGTGTAGAGCTGGAAGCATTGGGATAAAGTGCAGGTCTGAGGCTGATGATGACGCTCCTTTTGCACACGGACACTGTCTGCATCAGGGATATACTCTTCTTCTGTGTTTACAAACAAGCTGAGATCGGAGGCAGAGTGGTTAGCAGAGAAGGTCTTCAAATGAGATACAAGCGATTACAGCCTCACAACAACGGCTACAAATTCAGAATGGACTATACCAATACGTAACAGGGCAAAAGTGACAATCCAGCTTTATGTTTTAACAAGCTCTTGAAAATATCTGCAAAATCATTTCAAGAACTTAGTTGGTTTTTCTCGGACTGGCTGTAAGCTGCAATCAAATCAAGAATTCTCCTGTATATCTAAGTGCATGCATTCCACACACTTTGAGTTAATGGGCCTATAATAAACATGAAAATAATTGGACATTTACAGTAGTTAATGAATATATAACTTAGCTCAGCTCCAAACAAATGTGAGAGATGTATGGAACAAATAATGAACTGTTTTGAAAAAGAATTAACAACATATTTGTATACTTAGCTAAATAAACAAAAAAGATATCTGTCTCAGTTCATTTGAAATAGCAAGAGAATGCTGACAGAAATAGTTAAAAAGGGCCTTTAGGGGGTGACATAGTGTATCGAGTTAAGTCGCCACCTGCCATGCCAACATTTCACATATGTGCCAGCTGGAGGCCCAACTGCTCCACTTCTGATCCAGTTCCCTGCTAAAGCACCTTGGAAAGCAGTGAAAGATGGCCCAAGTGCTTAGACCTCACCATGTGGGAGACTCAGAAGAAGCTCCTGGGTTCAGTCTGTCGCAGAACTGACTGCTACAGCCATCTGGGAAGTGAACCAGTGGATGGAAGATCTTCCCCTCTCTCTCTCTGTTTCCTTCTCTCTCCCTGTCTCTGCCTCTATATATAGGCTTTTCAAATAAATCAATAAGCCTTTTTTAAAATATATCTTTTTAAAAAGTCTATAAATAAAAGTTAAAAAAATACTCACAAATCTTTTGTCTCCTTGTCCCATTCCACTACTAACTTCACGTGAGCAGTACCACCTGGCCCACAGGATTTTAATGCCCTACAGAATGCAAGGAGGAAAAGCCACATATTATCTTCTAAGTAAACGATTTTACTTAAGTGTGATTATATCCTTCTGAAATCATCATTTCATTGCAAAAAACCATCACAGTTCCCATTAGAAAATGCTCTTAGAGAGACCGTTGTAACTTCAGATTCAGTAACTGAGATACAAATGGGCTGAAAACTCTGACAACCAGAATAGAATGTCCAACATAGAAACAGAAATTGGAAACAATTTTGTATCACACTACAATACTGTCCACTCTGTCACTCTCAAATGTTCTTCACTGGCCTAAAGACTGGACAACAATCCCTGGGAGACAAAACCTGAGCTTGCCCCACTTCGCCCACACCATGCCGGATCTCCAGACCACGCCAGATCCACCCCGTGCCTTCCCTCTCCTTTCTTCACACAGCCACTCCCCTGGCAGTTCTCTGGCCCACAGCCAATGTCATGGCCTGCTCCTGAGAAATTCAGCATCTTATCCAACATTTCCTTAATGCTGTTCAATATTTTGGATCCCTAATAATCCATTAACTCTGACTCTTAACACCAAACAGTAATCACTCAAACAGGGCCAAGCTATATACTTTTTCCGAATCCTGAAACGCAGGCACAACAGTATTTGTTTAAAATGCCACTACAATAAATGTGTTTATATTTATGTATCCGTATGTGTCTGTGTGCATACGCAGATACATACAGATTTCCAGTGTTACTTTAACAATGCACTAGGAAGCTAAAGGAAGCAGAGGTAGAAAATCAGAGTGACTAATTCTTTGGGGAAAATAGTGTGAAGGCTTAAAGGAAAGGAATTAAGGCCAAAGGAAACCTCCCATGCCTCAGTGAACACACAAACGAGGAAGTTGAGGATTGGTGAAGGGATCAGCCAGGCCCAAGGGAACCACGAGAAACATCATACACTGTGAACTCGGGCTTTATGGATTGCAAGGAGGAACGAGAACTGATTAGAATGCTACTTCCGAAGACTTCCTTTTTGCTAAATATGAAAATATAATTGATCTGTAGTGCTAGGAAATACACTTGCCTGCTTTCCTGACATGTGTGGCCCCTGGCTTTTTTGCCGAAAAGGAAGATTATAAAACACATCACACTCGAATGAGAAATAAACCAAGCGCTTCATTGTTCAACGAACCTAAAGAACCCCGTACACTTGTGTGGGAACTATACCAGGCACGACCTGAAATCACACTCGCGCATCTGTTAAATTTCAAAAGGTGGGTTTTATTTCCTTTACCTTTCTACCGTGGGGTGGCACAGGGGCTGTTCCTCCTGGGGCAGTAAGTACGTGATTCCCACCACACTGACCACTCGCAGACTGAAGGGACACACCTGCATCAAATGGCAAAGGGCAGTTAGGCTGAACTTCCCCACCAGGGCATGCTGCACAGTGGCACCTGCAACCCAGATGGCAGGTCCAGCAAACTGTTCATTTCAGTGTTTTCTCTAGGGTGTTCTGCTGGGTTCCTGAGCCACTCTCATACTTTAAATATGATTTACCCAGATGTACTTGGCATATCATACAATTTATGTGTGACAAGGACCACGCTACTCTCACTGAACAGTCTTCTATGGAGGCCATACCATACCATCGGAAATTATTTTAAAGATATACAGATATTCTGCTAAAACCTTTCAGACTGATGATGCGCTAAACTTTGTTAGATTAATACTGTAAAGGATTACACTGCAGTTTAAGGAACATCTCTAGTAGCCAGCTCCTTTCACAAATTAAGTCTTCAAAATCCAACCACAGAAAACCCAAATTTCATGGCAATGTGTCTTCCATGGGTATACATGCGAGCTCTGCCAGAATATCAAAGTGCTTACAAACCTGAATGCAAACTGTGGGCCTCAGGAAATACTTCATCTTCTCCAGGATTTCCTTCTGCAGAAGGTCCCATGCTACCGTCTTCTCTAAGTGCAGCACAAAAGGCAGTCCAAACCTAACACACAAAAACACTGAAATCACCACCAAGTACAGTTATTTCTTTAATGATATAATCCCTTATTTATTTTCTTTTTTAGTTTGGGGGAGAGGGCAGAAGAGAGAGAGAGAAACTCCTATTCCCTGGTTTGCTCCCCAAATGCCCACAGTGGCCAGCGCTGGGCCAGGGTCAGTGTCGGAGCCAGGAACTTCCCAGGGTCTGCAATGACAGGTAGCAGAGTCAGGAGCCAGAACTAGGAAGTAAGCCCATGTACACCAACATGGACACAGGCATCCTAACTGCTAGACTAAATGCCTACTCCCAACCCCTTGCACTTGCCCTTCTAAATGGAATCACAATATAACTGGTTTCAGAGAGTTCCCAAAGCAAAAACAAGAAATTTAATGGTTAACTCAAAGAGATGATGAAAATGTCTGAAAAACAGCTTAGATTTCTAAGTGGAATTTAATAGTTCATGTACCAAAATAGCTTTCAGGGAAATATGATGCTACAATTGAGAGAACAGGAATAAGAGTAGATACAAGTTTAGAACACCATGCAGATGAAACCTCCAACAAGGGGGTGGGCACTGTGGTACAGTGGGCAAGAATTATTTAGGGCTAGAAGATCCAACCAGCAGCAGCCACATCCTGGTGGTCTTGGGAAACAAGGGAGGCCCTGGCAAGCAGACGGCACCCCGGAAGCCGGCTGTCCTCTGCCACAGTCCTATATTCTAGAAAACCAGAAGCAATTCCATAGAGTTAGCCTTGCTCTATAGCCTGCAATCACAAGGGAACTTTAGAAAACTACAGGGTCCAATTTCAGCCTCCAGAGACTCTGAAAAGATCCATGTGCATTGTGGTCCAAGAACTCCCAGGTGGGTCTAATATGCAGCCAAAGTCATAGACCACAAACCCGGCCTCAACTCTCATCCATAGCCCTTCTTGCTGTTCCTGAAGGCATCTAATTCCCTCCCACACGGACCACCCTTCCCCACTTCCAGGTCAGCACCTGCTCACTCCCAGGAAGAGTCAATGGAGGTCCTTTTCCAGGAGCAGCCTGGCACTGTATTCCCTTTGGTCACCACAGTACTAACAGCCCTGAACTGCAAACACCACCTCCTGACCGTTTTCACCTCTGCTGTGAGCTACCTGACAGCACAAACAGCAACTTCTTTCCTTAGGAGCCTCATCTAAAACATTGTAGATGTTGAATGGACGACTAAATGAACAACTACTCTAACAAGATGAATTCTGACACAGGCCTGGGTTGAGACAGAAATGCTAAGCTCACAAGAAATGTGTTTCTAACAGCGAACAAACCATTTACACGCAGCAGTACTTAACAACCAACCAATCTGCCTGAAAACTGCCACAATCTGGAATGTTGGAAGCCACAGGTAAATCATCCCATCTCAAAGGGGGTACCACCAGTTCTTCATTTCATGGAAGCACACTAAGCAGCCCCTTCCTCTGGGACTGTAAACAAGCCAGGCCCCTTCTAGCCCCACTGCTTAACCAGGCGTTCCTTCTGCATGGGATCCCTGCCCTCCACGGCCACGCACCTCCCAAGTTCCTCCTCCTCATCAGAGCTTGGCCCACGGCCACCTTTTCTCACCATCCTTTCTACTGCAGTCTTGCATCCCCACCATCAGAATCAATCATTCTTGCTGTCTTCTTTGTTGTAATTACTTGAGGGAAGAATGGAGACAGGGTACGAGTGCATGAGAGCACTCCCATGAGCTCATTCACTCTTCAAATAACTCCAAAGGCCAAAACTGAACCAGGTTCAAGATGGGAGCTGGGAATTCAATCCAGGTCAGCAACGTGGTAGCAGGGACTCAACCAATGGAATCAGTACCTGCTGGAAGTTGGAACTGAGAGTTGAGTCAGAACTCAGTCCCTTACGGGTTGCAGGCATTGAATGGAACCTTCTTTTATCTGAATGTCTTCAAAGTGCTAACAATCGGCTGATGTCCAATGTGTCTGCTTACTTCCACCTGGTCTACGCTAAGGTACAGTCTCCCAGACGATGGAGACTCTGTTTATCTTGTCTGCTGCTGTATGCCCAGTGTTCAGAACAAGGGCCAGGACTGCCACAGCAGCTCACAGGCTAATTCTGTTTGTGGCACTGGCATCCCATATGGGCTGCTGCACTTTGAAACCAGCTCCCTGTTTATGGCCTGAGAAAGCAGCAGAGGACGGCTCAAGTTTTGGGTCCCTGCACCCACACAGGAGACGTGGAAGAAGCTCTTGGCTCCTGGCTTCAAATTGGCTCAGATCTGGCCATTGCGGCCATTTGGGGAGTGAACCAGTGGTTAAAAGATATTTCTCTGTCTGTTTCTCTTTCTCTCTGTAAATCTGCCATTTCAATAAAAATAAAAGAACAGCTGACACAATAAAATAAACACTCATGAATTCCCCAGATAAACTAATCAACATCTTTTACAATTATCTTACTTCCCAATGAACAAACTTATAAGAGGCAAACAAAAAATCATGACACAAATATTAGAGCCTTTTCTCTCCAAAACACTATCTTCCCCTTGTGATTACTCGGGTTACACTGCACTACTGTGATGACGTCACTTTACAAACAGAAGGCAGGCAGATCTGAGAGACTGCCAGTGCCCACCTTTCTGACGTGGGAAGCTGAGTGAGCAGTGGTGCCATCTGCTGTGACGGGAGAACACTGGAGGGCCAGTTTTAGCAGTACACAGAGCAACAATGAGTTCAGACTGGTATGCAGGCTTCAGGGCCACCTCCCAGCCAAGCAGATACATTCAGAATGACAACTTTTGTGACAAGCCTTTAGGAAAATAACCGGAGAAAGGTCTAGAGCCCCAAGAGAAGCCTGAATTGCAAACACACACATGAAGTGAGCTTTTAAAAACGAGGTGAGTTCTAGGAACCCCTGCACTCAGATGCCATCAGAGCAATGTGGCCAGCTCCCCACTCCGAGCCTCAACTCGGGTAAACATAGCCTTCACAGGCAGCCATCACATTCTAACACAGCAGGCACACGCTCATTCACATCCAGGTAAACATGCATCGTTTGTAACACCAGAATCAAAACTGCACCACTAAAAAGCAAGGACTTTACACCTCTGCTATGTAAAACACTGGAAAATACTAGAATCCTTAAAAGTCTTGCTCATGACTGGAAATGAGCAGTTTTTACCTTTTCCCCTGCTGCCCGGTACAGGCCCGGTTGCACACCAACAGAACAATCTTGTCGTTTCCTGCTCTGGTGCTGGGCAGATCCGTTTTCCCTGGCTTTGGTGCTGTCTGTGTAGGCGAGGACAGTCTGTGATGATCCAGGCCAAATTTCAAGTGGTTTAGATTGTTGTTTAAGTGAATTCCTGAAATGGAATAAAAACAACTCTTCGAAATGAAAACACCTCTTTGAAATTCTTTTCATTCATTCATCACAAAGAAATGTATCCAACAGAGAAAATAAGAAACTGTCATCATGTTATTTAAGCTGCCCCAAGGAAACTGAACAAATGGTCTACTGTGAGATTACCTATCTAGCCATGAAGATAATTTCTTTAGTATCCATTATTCCTTTTAAACTAGTCTTACTTGTCTTGTAAGCTGAAAATTAAAACTCTACACTTTGGTGAATGTTAGATACAGTGTGAGAAATGCAAGTCTGCCAAGATATTACAGCAGAAAATATTCCAGGTGAGGCCATGCCACTATCCGTCAAGTAAGTACAGACAAGAACATGCAGAATAGTTGTCAATGGTCCAACAGCAGTGGCCTCTCCATGATTACAGAGCCAGACTGGAAGGGACAGCGGTGTGGCAGAGTAGGTTAATAAGCCTCTGCCTACAATGCTGGCCAGCTCAGCTCAGCTCAGCCTTTGCAGCCACTTAGAGAGTAAACCAGCAGATAGAAGATTTCTGTCTGTCTGAGAAGAAATGAGATAAACTGCATCAACTAGACCCAGAGCCAAGATGACAACAGGCCACTCTAAGACAGTCGCCTATACCAGATCAACACCCAGGAAAGTGGACAAATATCCGACAGACCTTCCGAAGTGCCCAGCAGTACAAATCCCTGTCGTTCAGAGCTATGCGGCAATTCAGCATGCAGCACAAGACCTGCGCTTAGTAGGAGCTCAAAAGTACCTGAGCAAATACACATTTACTCCTTCAACCCTGTAGAAGGACACCTTCAGAAAATGATTTCCCAACTGGAAGGCAGAAGAAAGAAGCCCTCCCAACACTTTCATAAGAATTACATCAACAGAGGACTAAGTCAAAATGGTTAATGCAAGAGCAGTCAGAGCAGAATTCTGGCAAACACCCAAGGATCCATCAATAAAAGACCTGTAGAACCTATTAAGATACATCAGCATGAAAGCAGTCTAATATAACAAGTACATAGCTTATACTCAAATGCTCAAATAAATGCCAGTTAAAACACACACACACAGGGAGAGAGAGATAAATTAGAAATAAGCAAAGTTGAAGCATTACCAAGCAACTGGAGGGGTATGCAAGCTTAAATGTAAAAAAAAACAAAAAAAAAACCAAAAAAACAGACAAGCAACAGGCAATTTATCAGCTCTTGAAATCTGGTTTTAAAAAAATTAAAAATAATAGAAGTCCGAACTGGAGACAACGAATTACCTCATTTCCCAGACTCTTGGCAGAAGTACGGATGGGCAGCACCTGTGCTTCTAGAAGATGAAGCATGTCACCTCTCTACATAGAAAGCAAGCTCGGTTCAAAGTGCTGTTTGCTGTGTGACCCAGAACCGTTAAACTGCAGCCCAGCTCTCAGCTCCTCACTCCCTCAGTCAGGAAAGCAGCAGCATGACCTGGCCCAACAAAACCTCTGGAGGACCTTGGGAGCAGAGATGGACACACACTCGGCAGTCATGTATTTATCCAACGACAGCATGCCCTGGCTAGACACTGGACTCACCAAATTCGCTTGTGAACAGAAGCATGGTGCTGTCCCTGAGCAGCGCAGGTGGATAAGGGAATCTGGGGAAACTTCCAGCTGAATAAACATGAGCTGGGTTCTTGCTACACACTGGGAACTGTACTGAATTACTGACCACAGAGAGACAAAGGAAAAAGCAACCCAACCCTCGCAAATTTCAGTATCCTGTTGAAGAAACTGGAGAAAGCACGCTGTTTCATCATAACATGCTGGTGCAAAAGATTAGCAGACACTACGAAGGACAGGCAAGCAAGCATCAGAGGCGAGGGGGTGGGGACGAGAGGAAAAAAGCTTCTGAACAACGCTGATGGGCAGGTATTTTTTATCCTAATACAATAAAAGCAGAAAACCATTTAGCAAAGTATACATATGAAAGCACGGCATCAGGAGGTATAACACTGGAACAGAGCCCTGTTAGAAAGCAGCTAAGGTCAACATGAGTAGAGGGAACTCAACCCTAACCTGGCACCTAACAAACTGACAAAGGCAACCAACAAATCACCAAGAGGAGAGGGAAGGAAAGGCACAAGAGACATCTGAGGCAGGCGGATAACACAAAGGAGACACTGAGCGGAAGCTTTCAGCAGGGGCACCAAGACCATCCAAATAGGAAAGAATCGTTACTTTGGCAAATGATCTGGGACATCAAACATGTACACATTAAATGAAGGGACCTGGAGCCCTACTTCATACAGTAAAAATTTTGAATGTTGGGTTGGCGCCGTGGTACAGTAGGCTAATCCTCCATGTTTGGCGCCAGCATCCCATATCGGTGCCAGTTCCCCTAGATGGGGAAGTCGCAGAACTTCCACAAAGGGCATAAATAAGTGCAGACAGCTCAGTGCTGTGAGAAGGGTACCATCTCCTGGGTAATTCTACACATTTTATCCAATCCTAAAGGCATTCAGGAGACTTGAAAAAAAATTATCCTGCAATTTAGCTTTAAAAGGATAAATCAGAAGAGTCATAAAAAGTGTAAAACTACCAGGGCAGGTGTGTGATGTAGCAGGTGTCCTGTAGCAGGGACACCCGCATCCTGTCATCTTTGCTGTCATCAGCAAGCTAGCAGCAGGCTGAGCTACCCTTGGAGGCAGCAGGCGAGGGCTCTGGGGCTTGCATCTCTGCCTCCCAGGCTTTGGCAGGGCCAGTTGTGGTCCTTAAAGGACCCTCAAATGCACCTGGTAATCTCCCAGAGGCTGAGATCTGCCAAGTCTGCCCCAAAAGAGCAGCTCTCTCCCCGTTCCATCCCATCCCTGCCACTCCCATCTCTTGTCAATACATTAAGCTGTTTCATGTCTAAACAAGCAGAGAGAGAAAGAGAGAATGAACAACTGCCAGTCCCAACAAGAACTACCTTAGGTCAACAATGATTCCTCACTGCTTTTCCTGTTTTATTGCACTGGCCAGAACAGCCTAAACAATAGTAAATAATGGTGATATAATAGGAAGCCTTTTAAAATTCCTAATGCTGAAGTCACTGTTCTTTGTATGTGTCCTTAATGCCAGTGTATAACCCAGAGCACATTATTTCTGTCATATTAAAGTGTGCTGCTTCCACTTAGCATCTGGGCCATGACCTCTCCTTACCGTCAGAAACCCTCTCAACTTCGCATCCTAAGCATCTTCAAACATTTCTACAACTGCAAACTTTTTTCTCTACCTCCTTAATTGTAGGAGGTTTTTTGGTTTGTCTGTTTTGTTTTTTGTTAAAAGAAATATCGGAAGAACCCATTTAAGAAAGAAATGCTAAGTATAACAAGCTGCCTGGCAGGGGGGAGCAGCATGCACAGCATCAGATACCAGAATATTGGTCCAAGCGTCACGTGCTCTGCTTTCTGATCCAGCTTCCTGACAACACGCCTGGAGGACAGCAGACCAGAGCCCCGGTCTCCTGTGGGAGACCCAGAATCCTGGCCCAGACCTGGTTTTGCAGTCACTGGGAGAATGAAACAGTGAATGTATGATTTATAGTCTCTCTCTCTCTTTCTCCCTCTGTTTTGTTTGTAGCAATTCCAGCAGCCAAGTCAAAGTCAGGGAATGGAAACAGAAGTAGAAGAAAAATGAGGCTGGCAGGAAAGTTAGTTCTAAAAACCAAGGCAGTAGAAAATACTGATAAGGCTGGGTGGAGCAGTATTTCTCATAACTTTAGTTTGTAAAACCACCTACAGGAATTATTGAAAACAGAGTGCTGGGCCCCGGTCCCAGAGTGTCTCATTCATTTGGTCTGGGGTGAGGTCCAAGAAGCTGCATTTCTGACTGATTCCCAGGTACTACTTGAGGTGGTAACAGCCACTGGGGCAGAGCAAAATGAAGAGGAGACCCAGAAGAACCTTCAGGAACACTAAAGCCAGGAACAAAACTTGAGTTGCTTGGCAAGTCTCAAATTCACAATCGCTCCCATGACCCTCCGAACACAAAGGGAAAATAGGCTTATTAGCTCCCCAGGCACAGCCGAAACTGCAGCCAGTGAAGGAAATGGCACTGTCTAGAGTCTTAATTTGTTTTGCTCCTTATCAATGAACAGTGACATGCAAATATCCTAAAAATAAATATCAAGAAAACTCTACAGCAAAGGGGAAAAACTTTTTTAAATCAAAGGCCATTTGCATATTTATAACATCATTTGATGGGCTGTATAGTTATCAACCTAAAAATTAGCCTGCTTCTGATGCGCTGCATTTCAAGTCCCTCCTGCAGCTGTCTTAGCAGGCCAAATGTCTTCACTGGCTCCTCACAGCCTAGGAGCTGGAGATTCCTCACTCCTACTCCATAGCAAAGATTTCAGAATTGAGAAATTAAACATAAGAGCTGCAGCAGAATTTTAAGTATTTAAAAAAAAAAAAAAAAACGAAAGAAAAGCTAGGAAAGAAAAGCTATGGCACAGCCTAGCGTCCTATGTGCCATCACAAGATACCAAAAAGGCTACGTAAAGGAAGATGTTATCAAGTGCTGGACTTCCCGAAGGGGCTGGCTCAGCGAGGGGGATGTGTTACCATAAATGTCATACCATCAGTTAAAAATACACTCTGTATTTTATCACAATTTATTTTAAAATGTACACTATCATGTAACAGACAAAAGGGCAGGTGTTTGCTCAACCTGCAAACCCAGGTGCTTAGGACGGAAACAGGTGCTCATTTACCTCTTTGACTGAGAATTCCTTCAGGCCTAAAGATTTCTGGAGTCTCAAAGGCAAAAATGCAATCGCTTTCATGGACTGTTTCCAGGTCATCTGTGTCACAGAAGGAACGATGGAACCCATCATAGTACATTTCCGTTAACACAATCTAAAAATGGGGAAAATGTAAACAGCTGGGCATCAATACAGGTCGGCCTCCCACCTCTACCAGGAACTGCTCTCATTCACCAAGATCAGTAAGGCAGGGAGAGGGCTCCGAGGCATCTCACAGAGCCCTCATTATTCACCTTGAATGAGAATCTTGGAAGCACAGTATCCTCTGACTGATAGAACAGCATGCTCTGATTTCTGAACTCTCTGGCACGGGACCCATGCTCCTCTAAGCTCCGGGGGAGAAAAGGCCCAGGCGGCCATCGCGTCTAACCTTACCTCGCTTGCCCGGGGAGAGACCGTGAGACCTGCCTCGGCTTCTATACTCACTCACTCTCATGATGAGGACACATTCCACACCTTACTCAGACTGTCCCACATCAATGAAGTTTCAAATTTTAAGATAAAACATGTCAACGAATCATGCCTATGTGTATTAGAAAAAAGTTAAATCAACTCAAATGTGAAATAGTAGCTGATGGAACATATTACTGGAATTATAAAACCCTACAAGTTAGGGTTTCATAAAGTTAATGGAAAACAGAAATAATAAACTAGTTCAAATTTTTCATAAACCTCCTAAGGACTCCCTTGTATCTGTAGACTTGACATGGAAGGTTAAGAACAAAATGTGTGAATTTTATAAAATAATGTTACATGTGCACATGAAAAACAAATCGAGTGAATATTATATAACAGTATTAAATCCAGTAGCCTCTAGTACCAAGATACTGAGAACTTTCACTTGCTTGGTCATTATTTCTGAAATGACAGGGTATTTTACAACAAAATAGAAAGACGCTGGGGAAGAAAACAAGAGGGAGATCTGCAGAGTTCATTACACGCTCCGCAGCACCAGCCTTGCAAGCAGCACTGGGGGAGGCATGAAGAGGTTCCAGTGCCAGGCTGCCACCACCCTGCCCTGGGCCCCTCGTGGTTTTTCTGGTTTCCTTCATAGGAGTGGAAAAGGGGAGAACTGGACGGGACGCATAAGGTCGCCTCCATGGTTCTAGCATTCTTTGTGGGGAAAGAGGCTGCTGGCATGGTCCATAAAGAGCCCAGGAAGAATGTTCCTGGCACATTTCCTTATAATAAATTTAATGGTCATGCTGTTTTTCTGCCTGGGAACACGCAAGTGCAATTCACTCTCTCCAGCAAGCTGAGGGCAAAAGCAAATGTGTAAGAATTTCACCAATTTAAACGACAGGCAGAAAGAGCCAGAGAGCAGTGGAAGCTTTAAAGATACAACCAGGTTCGCCCTGCACGCCACCGCAGCCTCCTCCCCGCACCCCTTTCTATCTCACCACTCACCCTGCAGGGGAAAAAAAAGAAATCAATGTGCTTTTTAGAACAGGGAAAGGAATGCATGCTTTATCAACATGCCAGCACATGGCTTAACGAAAAAGGAGATGCCTGCTGCCTTCAGCCGACACTGCTGGTGGTATTTTGCTTTACTGTGGTAACGCTCCGGAAGGCCACAGGAGGCCAAAGTACAAAACACCTTGATTATTCAGTGATTGCACAGCAGTTTTCCGGAAGCTATCGAGGGAAAGCTATTTAAGCACTCAGATATTTTTCCAATGTTTCTCTAAATAAAATCGTAAGTGAACTGAGTAAAAACTATGCAAAACTCACAGAGGTTACCAATACCTTAGGTCAATTTACACAAAGATATAACCCCCAAAGGGGGGGGGGCAACTTTCTCTTATCTGAACAAGATAAAAGAGAGTGGGGGTCCAACTTTAAGAAGACAAAACCACATCAGGCATGTGCTGTGGCCAGAACACCAAAGCAAGACGATGTCCACTCTCATCACCACTGTGGAATTCTAACCCTCTCTGATGCTCTACATCTAACCCTCAGGGATGCTCTACAAAGCCATTCATCAGGATGACCTAAGAGTGGCCAGGTAATTATGTTTATAATTATGTTTATAAAAAAGCCACAAGAAGGTCATAGTGTAAAGTCATTGCTTTTCTGTTTAAAAATAGATAACTAAATAAAAATGAAACATGCAAAATTTTTCTTTACATTTTATTTTACTCTTTGGGGGGCTTAATTTTCTTTCCTTTTCTTTTTCCCCCAACACTATACACAAGTTTTCAATTTCTATCTAACAACACTGGCAGAGAATTCTAAAAAGTTCTAGGAGAACAGAAGGCAAGGTTTTAGTGAGTCACATGTACTTGGTCTTAGCGGGCCCATTACCTGATCAGTGGGGATCTTTGTTTCCACAGACACGGCTTCCCGCAGTCTGGCAACAGTCCCGGACAGAGGCACGGCCACGCCAATCCTCATGCAGTGAGAGCATTTGCCCTGATACACGACGGTGACGTAGAGAGGCCTGCACAGACCAAGGCCAGAGCTTCCGGTTAGTTACCTGTGTCAGCTCAGCTAGGAGGGCACTTTAAACAACTCAGAGAAAAATGGAATGAAGACATAAAAATGAACTTTGGTACAAAAAAGAAGTGTGAAATCCATGAGCCATACAGAAAATGGAAAATAAACCTGCTCTGAAATCAACACAAACTGAAGCTAAGCCATACCTTTATTTAGAAGCTACATGGGAAATTTCATTTGGTGCTAAACAGAACTATCAAACAATAGCTAAGAGCTTTGAAAAGGGCATAAAATAAAAACATAATACACCTGAGACTGGCACTGGGGCACAGCAGATGAGGTGGCCACCCATGAGGCTGACATCCCATTCAGGACCTGGTTTGGGTCCAGCTGCTTCATTTCCAATCTAGTGCCCTGCTCACGGACTGGGAAAAGCAGTGGAAGACAGCTCAGGAGTCTGGGCCTCCACCACCCACATGGGAGACCAGGATGACGCTCCTGGCCTCAGCCTGGCCCAGAACTGACTGCTGCCGTCATCTGGGGATTGAACTAGTGGATGGAGATCTCCCTTCTTCCCTCTTGGTAACTTTTTTAAAATAAATAAATAGGGCCCGGCGCGGTGGCGCAAGTGGTTAAGTCCTCGCCTAGCACGCCCGGGATCCCATATGGGCGCCGGTTCTAATCCCGGCGGCCCCGCTTCCCTTCCAGCTCCCTGCCTGTGGCCTGGGAAAGCAGTCGAGGACGGCCCAAGGCTTTGGGAACCTGCACCCGCGTGGGAGACCCGGAAGAGGCTCCTGGCTTCGGATCGGCATAGTATCGACCCGTTGCGCTCACTTGGGGAGTGAATCATCGGATGGAAGATCTTCCTCTCTGTCTCTCCTCTCTGTATATCCGCCTTTCCAATAAAAAAATAATAAAAATAAATCTTTAAAAATAAATAAATAAATAAATAAATCTTTATACGTATATACATATATACACACACACACACAACACACTTTTCACATTTAAAACAGTACAACTGCTGGACACTTTGGAAAACAGTTACAAATAAAAGTGGTAATTCAAAGCACACAGTAAGGCCTTTGGACGGTCTGTAAGTTACTCCCAGCCCAATGCTATCTGTGGACGATCACCTAACCAGCCACAGCGCCTACCTGCCCTGTGCACCTGTTTCCCCGGAAACTGACTTCTGTGAGGAGTTGACAGAGATTGGCTTCAACTTTTCACCAATCGTCTGATTTGCCTAACTAAGTGAGAAGACCTGATAGGCACCTCCAGCAGAAGACGAACACCATCAAAATGCAGTCTTGTTTTCCTGAGTCTGTCCTTACCTGGTATGTGGCAGAGGAATTGGCAAGGAAATGCAGAGGAAAGGGTCAAAAGTGTTGCTTTGTTTCTGACAATGGGGACATGTCAACGAAGACCTTCAAAAACAAAAACGTGAGACACCCCCGTTAAGATCACCCAAACCTGCAGTAAGCAAAATAAGAAGGAACACTCCATTTGCTCATACCTGTACTGGGCTTGAAAAAGTTCTTGTACAAAAGTGCTACAGACAGGAAAAGAAGGTCCCTCAGGCATCATGTCAGTCTCCGACGGGGGCTAAAGAGAAGGAAAGTACAATTTCACAGACTAGAAGTGCCAATTCTTGATTGAAGATGGACCTAGAACATCACAAATGTTCCTGACTCTCATTACACGCTGCACACACCTCGTGCAGATGCTTCACGCACAGGTACCTGCTCTTGGGTCACAGGGACTCACCTCCATGGACCATCTTCACCCTGTCCGTGCAGTTGGGCAGCTCTCTAATCTTCCCCCAGCACTGAGTCTCCCACCCAAAGCCCTTCCAGAAAACGATTCCAACCACTTTCTTACCATGCCTTGATTCTTTGGCATCTTTTACTGTGCTATCCATGGTGTCTCATCACATAATACTCCATACTTTTACCTGTCCAAGCCCCTCCCTCTGACCACTGGTTACTGACCCTCTGCCAGCACACGCAGGGAACAGTGTCCAGGACACTGGGATATAAAGAAAACAGAAGACACAGTGTCTGGCCTTCTATGAGGGGTGTTGCCACTTGGTGGGCGAGTCGGCCACACATACACAGTCACATGACAGGATAGGGTAAAGTTTGGCACAAAATGACCTTCAACCAGAACAACAATTTACCAGATTGGAGGTTTAAAATTTGAAGTACAAAGCAGAATTATCAAGAACTTCAAAAGCTGCATGAGGATGTAACTCTTAAGTCTTATCTATTCATATTATATAAATCATTTTATTCACTATATTACGATTATATGTATAAAAGTTGAAAGACTCATGAATTTTCCCAGTTAGAACATTCTAGAGGCTCAGCTACTGTGCTCAAATCCAATCTCAGCAGCAAAGCTTCCATCACTTCCTTTGGGTGTATGCTCATTTCAGTGACCTGCAGGGCATGTATCTCACTAGGTTAGAAAGGAAATGTATTCCATTTTAAAAACAGTTCTGTGAGATGGAATTACTTAGTGTTAGTCTAAAGGTAGTCAGACATGCAAGTACTTCTCTCCCAGACTGTAAAAGTTCCTTGAGGACAATGTCTCTTGAAGTAACCAGGGTGAAACACCCTCTAAGTAACCACTGGATTTAATGCCCAGCCAGCACCATTACAGCTATCAACTAGACCCAGGCACCAAGTCCTCAGCAGAGGTCTGGGAAAAGGACCCAGACGCTGTCTCTCGCTGACCGCCCGGCCAAGCGCGTGTCCTCACCTTCACGGGGGGCTGGCCACTCTGCTTTACAGCGTGATTGAGGTCTTCGTGAACTCGGTCCAAAAGCCACAGCAGGAACTCCTGGGCATCGTGCTGGGAATTTCCTCGATACTGCAGTGCGTTCTTTGACACGATACTCTGCACAGGTAAAGAAATCAGTGTGAACAGGGGAGTTACTGGCTCCAGAAACAAAGCTATGTATTCAAACTCCTGAGGGGGGCAGAGGGTGGGGGAAGCAGGATCTTAAGCAGGTTCAGTGCATAGCGATGTACAACCAGAGGCTAAATGTAAAAACCTCACCCCCAGAAACATATACCAAAGGCCCTGAGTCCCACTTAACCAGCAATCCTACTTTCAGAAGTAGATCTAAAAGAAACCATAAGAATAGCATGACAAGACTTCTGAGAAGATATTCATCAGTTTACAGTAACAACTACATGGCATACCCACTGGGAGAAAAATGAAAAAAATACAGGTCTGGGCCTCATGTGAACCAGATCAGGAAAGAGCCAGGCTTGGTTAACTGTCCCAACTGGTGCGAGCATAAATCAGAATGGGTGAGGGTTGGTTTGGCTGTGCCACAGCATCAGATGGCAGATGCTGGCACGGGGGCTAATTCTGTCAAGTTGAATGGCACAACCACCCAGAAAGTGCATGATCTGGGAGTGGACCCAGGAGGGAGATAATGGGCACCTCCCTCTTGAGTTACCACTCCCACCAGATAGCATGAAAACCAGGACTAGGGCAGAACTGGCTGCACAGAACGGCACCCACCAGCATGTGCGTGGGCTGGAAATTAGGCCTGGTTGAGTTGAACTAGGCTTCAATGTCCATTGACATGTAGAAGAGCTGAATGGGAGGTGGGACAGACCAGACAAGTCTGCAATACACAGAGGCAAGCATGGGAACCAGGGCAGGGAGGCAGGCCTGGTAGGTATTATTGTAGGTTGCAGCTCCCACTGGTTTTTGTGAGGGCTGAGTGTGTGCTGGCCAGAATCAGGTCGGGCTGCAACACCCATTGGTTTGTGTGAAGACAGGGTTGAAAACAGAACTGACCCAGTGATTGCAACCACCAGCTGATTGGGGGCGATGGACTGTGCCAGGCTCTGTACTAGCAAGTACACACATGAATCTCATCTGGGATCACCTCAGCCAAAATTTCTTTGGGGATCTCCCCAAACGAACTGCCAAACTCAGAAGCCCAACAATGAACAGAAGTGCAGGTTCCATGGTCTGCCACAGAGTGCAAGCCTCCTCAGAGGCTCAGACGGAGCAGTAGACAGCATATCCAGGTACACATGAAATATATGGCAGTCCATCAGAACCTGCAGAGGACACGTGGTACCACAACAGAGGACAGAGGACAGAACAAATCAATCAACTACTCCAGCCTTGTGTTGGCAGTGAAAATCTGGGCAAAGAGAGACTCTAAGATGGGCTGTGTCAACCAGTGGATTATGCAGCAATTTCATCATGCTTGAAAGACGAGACTGGCAGCAATTCAGAACTGTAGAATTATCACAACCACTTGAGCAGGACCCTCGGAGCATGCCCCACATCGGGGACCTGGGACGGATGGGAGGCTGGATGGGGTTTCCCGATTTATCTCCCCCTTTACCCCAGATACAGGGGAAAAAAGCAATAATGTGGAAACAACAGTCTTATCCACTTACCTGTAGCCCTTGACTCTTTGTGCCCTAATCAACTATGTAAAGATTGTCAAAAACGAAGAAAAAAAAAAAGAATAGCATGCCAAGACTTCTAAGATATTCATCAGCAGTTTACAATAACAACTACATGGCATACCCACTGGGGGGGGGGGGGAAATACAGCTGGGGCTGGTGTTCTGACATAGCAAGTAAAGCTGCCACCTGCTTCACCAGCATCTCCTATGGACTACTTCATGTCCCAGCTGGTCTATTTCCGATTCTGCTCCCTTCTAATGGCCTGTGAGGGCAGCAGATAACAACCCAAGTACTTCAGCACCTGCCACCCACGTGGAAGCCCTGGAAGAAGAGTGTTGCAGCCATCTGGAGACTGAACCAGTGGCTGGAAGATCCCCTCCCCTCCACCCCATTTTGACTTTCATTATAAAGAAATAAAACCACTTTAAAACAAAAAATACAGTTCTGTTAAATAGGAAGATAGGCTATAAACCAGTAGTGTGAAGAATGGACATATTCTTGTTAGAAATGTATGCATGCCCACACAGGTACAGACACAAAGTTTTACGATGACAAATTCCAAGTGGTGCGTTTAGGTGAGGGAATTAGAGATGCTTTCTTTTCTTCTCACTTTCTGTATTTTCTAATCCTCTGCAATGAAGATAGCTATGTGGTGCTTAAGGGTGGCAATACGTTACAACAAACGCATTGCGGGGTGACCTCTCTGTTGGGTGAACGTCACTGCACACTCTGCCATGTACCTCTGGGCAACACAAGGCTGGGACCACAAAGCCATCGCGGACCGCAGCGCCACTCTGCAGTGCAGGACTCTACGACTTACCCAGTAAGGAGATTACAAGCTTCCCTTGAAACCTTCAACAGGCTTTACTTATTCAAAATGATTGTGTTGAAATGATAAATGTTTACGTAAGATACATTTTCAAGATCTCGTAGTAAGGCACTAAAAGCCCAGTGAGGCCGAGAGGTGAAGAGTGGATGCATAAAGCAAAACAAGACGGGGTAGTGGTGGCAGAGGCAAGTGCCTCGGTCAGAGAGAAAGTTAGAGCTAAGCCAAGAGGAAAGCTAAAGTGAAGCTCCTGGAGTTGTCAACATGAACTTATGCTGCACCTAACGTGAGGAAAGAAAACTGGCATGCCCCGGGGTGCACACACCAGGCACAGGGCAAGGAGGAAATCACAGGCAGGGGTCGCTCAGACTTAACCACAAGACAGCAGGTGGGAGCACAGCCTCCAGGTGGGACCTCAGAGCAGACCAGACCACCCAGAAAAAGAACAGGAGAATGGAATCCCAAGAAGTGGAAGAGAAAGGCTGAAGAAAGATAAAGCAGGCCCAAAAACTGAAAAAGAGAAAATGATAACAGAGATGAAAAGGCATAAAGGCATAAAGGCACAGTGACGGCCCGTGCCAAGCGGCCGAGTTCCTACTGCCCACACGGAGGACCTGTCCTGACCTCCCAGTTTCTGGTCCTGGCCGGGTCCAGTACAGCCAAGTCCCAGCTATTGCGGGCATGTGAGGGAATGAACCACTGGATACACGACAGCTAACACTCTAGTATCTCAGAGATGTTTTTTAAAAATAGGAAAACATTTGTAATTTGGGTTATAAAGTACTGGGACTGACTTTGTGGCAAAGCAAACTAAACTGCCACCTGCAACACCAGTATTCCATACAGGTACTGGTTCAAATCTGAGCTGCTCCACTTCTAAGCCAGCTCCCAGCTAATGTGCCTGGAAAAGCAGCAGATGATCCACTGCACCTACATGTGAGACCTGGAAGAAGCACTTGGCTTCAGCCTGGCCCGGGTGTGCTCGGTGCTGTTTGTGGAGGACACCGAGGACAGAGGTCAAGTGCAAGGCTCAACTCTGCCAGCCGAGTAACAAATCTCCCGGTGTGTGGCTGGGTCAGGGCAGGCTCGGGAGGACAGCACGTTTCTCTTTAGAGCCCTCATTATCTACTTCTACTGGGAACAGAGGGGGCACTGGTCAGGGCTAATGGCACCAGCATCCCAAAACACAAATCAAACTTTACCTTACGCATCAGATATTTTACACACCGTTGTCCAAGTTTATGGGTGGAGATGATATTCAATTCTTTATCAGGATGGGATTAAACTTATTTCTGTTTCTTATCACTATCACTTCAACTCACTCAGCACATCTCCACCAATCGCTGTGTGCGAAGGCTGCTCAGCAAGATTTTTTTGCCCAGCACGACTCAACAGGCACCAGGCCTCCCACAGCCCTCCATAACTAGGACAGAAACAGCTCTGGGAGAACCGCACCCTGCATCACCACTCCAACGGGAAGATCAGGAAAAGAAACGGCACACATCCCAGATGCCCAAGCTCCTCTTCCTGTCTCCTGGACCCCTCAGGACACTGAGAACCACCCAGGGGAGCACGTCTCCTCTGACCTTGTTCCCAGACAAAACAAAACGCAGAATAATCTAATAGTCAACTGTTCAGTGTGTGTCACAGCAAATGAAAAATTCTGGGAACGAGCAGACCTGAGTCGAGCTCAACTGCCTTCGCTGCTGGATACTGAGGCGATGCGTGCAGCCTGGGACTCGTGTGTCCGACGGCTGGGGGGCCCAGGCACTCCTCATCTTCACCCTGCTCCCCACTCCAGGGGCCCAGCAAGCATTCAGTTTATATTCCACGCCGCACACAGTGGGGCTTTAGTTTGCTTCTTATTACTTTCTCATAGACCTTATTCTTTTGCTTGCTTTCCTAAAATTAATACTTCTGTAATTCTATAGTTTTTATAACATTGATAATCATTTTAATACAATCTGAGAAATCACTGAAATGTGTTACTTTTATTTCAAAAAAATAGAATGTGGACCCTGAATTTGAGTACAATGCTTTTCAGAAAAATATTAAACTGAATGTACTACCTGAATCTTATACATTCTACTGTAAATAATGAAGTAAAAGTTGGAAAAAAAAACTAGCAGAGTTTTAATTCAAGAAATTTTTTACTTATACTTAAACAAAGTATTTGGAGTTTTTCCTCTTATAGACAAAACAAAACAAAGAAAGAGTTGAGAACATAGCTCAGAAAAGAAAAGAAGTCTGTGTGGGCAAAGCTATTTGTTTAGACATGAGAGAAGAGAGAAGCAGGAAGTGGAGCATCCTTAATCCAAAATCTGAAACTTCTTATGTGTCAACATGATGGAAGATGTCACATCTGACTTCATGGACAGGTGGCCTATCACAACGCAATGTCCTCCCCACGCTGCAGACAACCACCTCAGGCCACAAGCAGATGCTGTACACTGACCCTAAATGAATTTCGTGTTTACACTTGGGTCCTCTCGCCAACATAGCTCATTATCCTCATGCAAATATTAACAAAATCTAAAAAAAAAAAAAATGCAAAATGCCACATGCTTCTGGTCCCAAGCCCTTTAGATAAGGTATACTCAGCATGTCTTCACAGTTTAAGAGAGAAG